GTCGCCTCGGCACCGTCTCCGCAAATGTCTCGTAAAGGGCATGAATAAATCATCATCAATCGCATCATGAATACGAGCCGATAATCGCGGAGGAGCAGTGTATACCTGCGGAAGATTATCCCGCGGTTATGTACACGTGTGGCGTGACGCGGTTATGTAACGAAGTTGATTATTGTCTCTCGCTTACTTATCTTATTCTCAATTGGCGAAGAAAGGTAAAGATTTTTTTTTCCACGGCGTGAGCTAACACAGAATGAATTTCCCCGTCGAGACGCGCGGAGAGACTTCACATCCGTGAAAAAGATAAATTTTGTCAGGCTCGAGTGACACGTATACCGACGACGTATTAAATAGCCCCAACCTTGCCTCTCGTCGCTGGAAATTTAAATGCGCTCGTTAATACGCGCGCCGTATACCGGTGCAACATCGCGGGTGCACCTTGATTTACGTATTGCCGCGCATAATATCGTCGGGCTATTTCTGGCCCGCTTAGCGGCGGGCGCGAGAGATAAGGTTGATAGAGATAAATCTTCATTGCGGTTTTAAGGTCGATAACTCGCGGACGAGCGACGAGCGCGCGTTACGGAAAGAGCGTAATAAAAGCGCTCGCGGGGCGGGCGCAGAACTGAAAGGGAAAATGACGTGCGCGAGAACGAGTTTTCGGATCGAATCATCGAGCGACAGCCAATAACGAACGAGTTTTATGCCGCGAGCAGAACGGGAGATAAGACGATAAACTTAGCTGGACGGTTATTATGAAAGACATTTAGGTCTAGCCGATTCGCCGTTTGAAATATCAAAAACAAATGCGCAACGTTTTTCTTACCAGAAACATACGCGCCAGACCTTGTCGGCCAGATCTTCCAATAAACAGAGGAAATGTCATCGAATTCTAATTTTTCTTATCGATTCAGTCGTAACTGAGACTCAATATCGTAAAATTTTTTTTTACAAATGACAAATTAAATTATACTTTGGCTAATTAAATTTTAGGAGTGTAAACGCAACTGAGATTTTGTAAATTTACTTCTTGTGATTTTAAAAATCTCTAAGAAAAATAGCGATCGGTCTTTTACTTTTTGAATAATCTGACACGTAAAAAAAAAAAGTGACGACTTGTCTCGACGCTAACTGCGGCGACTTGAGAGCAGCTTCGCGCATACAAATGCGCAACTTAACGCACGCGACTCAAACTCGGCCGAGCACTTTCCCGGCTGGTCGTCTTTTGCGTCGCTCGCTTTCGCGATTGTCTTAACGAGGCGTTTATAAGCACACCGCGAGTGAATTCCCACTTCGTGGAATTAATTCCTAAAGATTCGATCCTTGAGATCCTCGAGGGCTCTTTCTCTTTCTCGGTTAATCGTATCGCTGGGAATCGATCAGCTTTCAACTTTATCGTAGCTCTTTGAAATAATTCCCTCCCCCCGAAATCTTTCTACAAAAAATAAAACTTTTTGTGCTCTTTTCAACGAATGCATCATAAAAAAATTCACATTTAAAATTATCTGTAATTAACTGAGTGGTTCTAATAGCTGTCCGATGTCATCGAAGATTTATTCATTCTAAACAGAATTGTAAGTTATTCTCGTAAGAACTTACTGAAATTGTAATTCTATGCGTATCGTAAGATATACGATTATTCGTAAACATCAACGATTTCTCGTAAATCTTACGGCTAGTTAGAAGTTGTCTGTAAAGATATTGCATAAAGTTATAAGCATATAGTCATAAATTTTTACAAGTTTTACGAGGACAAATTACGAACCTTACGATTCTGCTTAAAATTGATCCATTAGTTCTTGACGCGTTTATTTTATTGAATAAATAAGGACTAAACAAACGAAAGAATTTTTCCTCAATGACGTCTCTCTGTCTCTCAATTATAATACTTCTCATTGGAAAACACCAAAGATGAGTTTACCAAGATGACGCAACGGATGCATCGTACGTAGCATCTGATCGCGTGATCTCTGTTATTAAAACGTTGAAACGTGATGAATGACGTTTGCGCAAAATCAGATAAGCGGCGCGTGCGTTGAGCGTTTCTGAAAATATATGCACGCGCACACGCGGGATTTGCCGGTGTCTCTCGACCGACGGACGATGTCTCGTCGGCGTAGGTATAGAGAATTCACCAATAGAGCATCGTGCAGCCGAGTGGCATTCCAGATTTTTCTCGGCGCCACAATACTGGCGACGTCCTCCACGAACTTATATTCTTTCGTTTTCACGTCTGTCGCGCGTCGAACGAGACGGGACGATTGCATGACATTACGGCTTTACTACGTCGAAAAAAACTTCGCGTGGGGATGATTCACGTAACTAAATTGCTGCGTAATGTTGGGGAGGAATCAATTAAGTGCAATTATATTATACTTGGTAAGTGTAGCGACCGATACGTCCGTCTTAGACAAAAAGCTGCAAGAAAAACTATGAGCGATGACATAGCTGGAAATAACATTCCGAGAGTCGTGACTTAAACTTAAACCTAACGTGTGCGACGCGATGATCTTGAGAAGCTCATACGGAATCGCTTACATGCCTCTTGCGTATAACTGATTAGTATTAGGACAGTACGTCCTAAAAAAAGAGAGAGAGAAAGGAAAGCTGTATGATTGGTAAAGAAATTTATCTGCCAGCAGTGCCAATTTTCTACATTATTTGACTCTGAGTTTTAAAGGTCGGAGCTGAGACTTAATCTGTTTGTGTTAGTCACTGTAGAATGTAAAATATTAACGTCACAAGGAAATTTATTAACGTCTCGGTTGATTGAATTTTATTAACGATAATTGATTTACGTTCCATTTATAGCGCACTACCCGATTCGTTATACACGTGCACGCGCATTCGTCAACCTGTCGCCGAACACGCCGCAGGTAAATAAAGAGTTTGTGACGTGAATATTTTTTCCCCCTTTTTTTTGCAATCGCGAGAATGCGGTGTTATGAGATCAACGTGTCCGCGGAGCGATCGGTGAGGTCGCGAGAAGGAGGAAAAAACCTGCAACGCGTAAAACGTGCGTCGCGTAAAACGCACGTTCGCGGCGGTTATAAATAATACTCATGTGTCTCCGATCGTTCGTCGAGTTTTTGCCGCGGCGCTCCTTTTCCTAATTATGAACGTACGTAAGACGTACTAGAGAAACGACCGTCGCGCACCGGCGAGAAATCTTGACAAAATGACCGAAGGCACGCCGGATCGCACGGGGTGTCGCATGCCGTCGATTATGCCGTGATCGTCCAATTTGGTTACAAAATAAATACGGTGCGTATCAAACATCGCAGATTCGTTTACATTTTAAAAACGATCTCCTTTCTATTCGAGTTTATCTTTCAATAACGAAAGTTCGAGGAGAGCCAACGAGAGCCATCTTATATTAATGGGACACCCTGTATTAATCCGCGAACGCGGAACCTGACCGATTGATGTATCAACGCGTTGATTGCCTCATCCTCGTGCTCGGCCTTGCGATGAAAAAACGCAGCGGATAACTGTATTTCAAGTTTCCTGCGATTTCTCGTTGCCTGAAGGTACCGCTACGGTACGCACGTCGCGCAAATCCTGACTAGTTAAACCGTAAAATGTGTCGAATATCTTAGAATCGCGCCTTAATCGTAACCGCAGACCTCGCATTTAGCAGCTCAATTTAAGATGACATTTTAATAACTGAATAATTGACGATTAAGGCTCTGTCATTCGCACAGCATCTTAAGCATTGAAATCCCACCCGGAAAAAAGTAATGTTGTATCAGCAGCACAGCTAATCTAATTGAAAATCATTTTATTAATTCAATGGCGGTATTAATGAAAAACAAAAATGTCATGCTCTTATTTCATTAAAATGTTATTTGTTTCATTAATGCACTGACATCAAAAATATTATTTCCAATTTGGCTGCTATCGGCTAATGCTGTTAACAACGTTATTTTTTTCCGTAAAACATAAATACACATGTCACATTAGTCACAAAAAAAAGTTAACCACCCGCGTCACCAAAACTATTAAAAATTTAGGGCCGTAAAATTAAAATCTTAATTAGAGAAAAAGTAAAACAACAAAAATAAACTAGAGATAGGACGTATCGTTAACCGTGCAATTAGCGAATAAGTATCGTTGTGGAATTACTGTCATTACCTCCAAGTGATCGAAACTCGGCGAAGTTAAAGCTCGTTCCGCGCAAAACGGCACATATGCGTGCAAAGCTGATGCTCGCTGAAACTACGCGACGTAAATAATTCCGTCGTCGCAATTCGTTCGGTTTGAATCTCCATCGATTCATCGCTGCTATTGTACGGCAAGTAGTCGATCGTGGGTGCGAGAGATCCAATCTTATCCCGGCTTCCTCCTTCGCCAGATACGCCACCGTCAATAACGGCAATAAGGAAGCTATACCGGCGGCCGCGCGCGGCTACTTTCGTTTTGCAAGGCCTTCTACGGCGCATTAACCCGAGCACGTAGGGTTTATTCCGGCGACAAGGTTGAGAATCGATAAAATGTAAAAACGAGATGTCTCAGGAATCAGAGGTATGAGATGTGTCACGAAGAGATCTATAAGACAAACGCGAGAAATAAAAATCTCCAACTCTCTAATCATCCTCGATAAGTAATTTAATTATTCCGAAAAAACATATAAGAAAAGAATTATAACTTGCTTATATATTGGTTGTATAAGATTGATTCAAATGTTGATCAATAAAAATTATAAAAAAAAAAAAGAAAAATTAGACTTAAAATCTCATATTGAAATCTGATTAAAAAAATAGTTGTAAGTCATCTCGAATTTATTTCGAATGTTATAAATATCGTCACAAATAACTTCTATAATCTGTATTTTACAATTTTATTAATCCTATATCCTAATATAATTTTCGATTAACATCACTTCTAGTTTTTTAAACAAAAGAATACATTGTGACAGTTCCACCTTTGTCGCGGACTTTCTTCGCTTTTCACAACTTATCGATCGGATGACGATCGAGCCGAAATCGCAGCGTGCTTACCTTGTTTGAGATCATAGCGTACATATGTCAGCGAACAAGAGCAGTGAGAGGCTCGGCCACGGCCGAGAAAGAGAGCTGTCGCCAGGCCACCGGAGTGTCGCAGGCGTAAAACTTGCGTCCCGGGCAAAGTCCCAAATTCGCGTTCCCACGTGCCTCCTCGCGCGCGCACGTTTCTTTCACACTTTTTCCCCCGAGATTATTACTCACCCCACCAGCGGCCACCAGCGTTCGCACTCGCGGAATACCCACGCAGCGGACGTCGTGAACTCGGGCAAGCCGGGTAAAGGATTCGCATAATCGGTAACACGCGCTTGCTCACTGCGCGCCCTTCGTCGTTTCGAGTCTCACGAGCGATCGCATCGTTCCCGAAAGGGAAAGAGTCACGTAACGCGCAGGTTCCTCGAGAGATTCCCACTCGTCAGCTGGCCACTCGCGAGGATATTCCTCGAATTATTTTCCATCATCGGGGAAAATCGCGCGACCGGCCTCCTACCTATTGCTGCAACGCGCCGATAATACTTGTCGCTCTCCATGCTACTTTCCGGTGCTACGTTCATCTGCCTCGTTGGCCGAGTCCAGAATTCACGATCGACGTCAACCTCTGCATACGAAAAAAAAAATCACGATTCCCAGAGACGTGATAAAGTTACAGCACTGTCAACCTGCGCTGTCTCGCAAACGAGAAAGAGAGTCTCCCGTAATTTTTCGTGCGGCGAGCAGTCGGCCGAGTCGCTCGCATAGGAAGAACCTTCGTATCGGGGACCGCGCGCCACGAGTCCGGACTCTCTCTCTCTCTTTCTCTCTCACTCTGATGGGCTATAATGTCCGTATCCGTGCCAGTCGGCGGTCGGTCCGGCCGATTTTCTCACGCCCACACGAAGCGCGCCCGCAATCGCGCGTGCAAACCGGATCAACGTGGCGCGGAAAAGAATTTAAATGCGCCGAAAATTGAGGAGGTCGAGTGCACTCGTTGTTTCGAGCAAAACCCCTCTAATTCGGTTTACCCGCTCATCATAAAAAAAAAAGCAACACTGTTAGAAGATAATTTTAAGTTTTAAAAATATCTCCACGAATAACGACGCGCGATGTCGTATCCGCGAGAGAACTCGCGTTCTCATCACTTTCTCTCCCGAGCTTTTTCGAGATTCCTTTTGCGTTTCTTTTCGGGATTTTTCACAATTCCGATGGAAGTCTCGTTAATCGCTTCGGAACATTTAATCTTCACCGGATATTCAATTGTGTCTATGTGAGAATCTATGAGGATCCTTCGTATTGCGAGCGAAAGTTTCCGCAGATGTGAGACGTATTTTTCTGATAGTTCCACCGAAATTCGAACAATTCCGTTTCAGCGGCACAAATTATCACGCACGTGATCGATTTCCGAGAGTACTCCGTATCGGGAAAAATCCCGTCTCTCCCGCGACGCCGTAATTTCTGAGACACGTGACGCGGACGGCACGTGGAGGACACGACACGGTCGAGGTATGATTTGGGCGATCTCGGGGAATGTACGGCTGTTCGAAGCCGAACAGGAGACCGCGACGAGCGCTACTGACAAGCTTTATTCGCCGTGTCGTGTGTTAGGGTCCCCGGCATCGTTAGGGGAGCGTGTACGGGGCTCGGGCTTGTGAATTCTCCTCCCCTCGCATGACGTGCCCCCTTCGTAGGTACAGGGCACTTAACACACTTGAATGAGGCGCGGACCCTCCCGCCGGGGCGACGCGACGTGACGGGGGACGTTAACGCTCTCCGCTCCGCAGGCCCAGCTTCCGCGAACAGCCTCTACGATCCAGCAGACGACCGGCCTGAATCTGTTTGTGCTGACGCAAAATCAGAAGCATGTCGCATGTCGGGGAGGGGGGGAAATTCGGGAGAAGTTTGTTTGGAAAAAAGAAAGAGAGAGAGAGAGAGGATAGAATTTCGACGAGTTGAATGTGCGACGATGTAAACACACACACGTGAATACGTCGATGAATGGAGCGGGCATCCGTGAATGACTGACTATAACTGACAATAAATCTGTATGTTTATCTTCACGTGATAATGTGATACGTTCTGTGTGGCGTTATCAATTTCTAAATATTACATAATTCGATTATTTACTGACGATAGCATCACTTTTATTGCTGTCTCGAATAGACCTCTAACACAGATAATATTATTTTAATGTTATTTTAAACAATTTCGTACAATTTATTGATCACTTGATAGTTTTATGTTATTCTGAGTCTTCTGGGAACTCGACATTCTTGGACATACAAACAAGGCCCGGTCAAACCGAAGCATGGAATTTCATATTGCACACGTGTTGATTTCAATCGTCTACGTGACAATCTAATGACTAATATTTTCGACGAAGATTTATCGCGACATTCATAAGAAATTCGACCTCGCCATTTAATTCCGCGACTTGCGGCACGATCTTCGAATGTACATATACATATATATATATATATGAGTCGACAAGGCACACAGGGGGATA